ATGATCTCCCTAAACGTCTCCCTATAGAGATTGCCATGTACGCGGATGATGTCACCATCTGGGGCACAGACGCATCCCAGTGCAGTCGGCGATTGACCAAACAAAAAATTGGTCAGTCGACTGGAGCTTACCAATGAATGCCGAAAAATGTGCAAGCATGACCTTTGGTAACGCTCCTGGTCAACCTTTCTTGGTAAACGGTTCAACCCGTATCCAACTGGTGGATCAGCACAAAATTCTTGGTTTCTGGCTGAATAGCAACCTCTTCTTTTCTTCCCATAACTANAACATACATACGCCCACTGTTAGAATATGGCAACCAAATTGCCTATTCTTGCCTCATTCGCGACCGCGACTCACTAGAGCGTGAGTAGCAAAGAACCATGAAACTAGTACATGGCTTGTCAGAAATCCCTTATCCTACCCGACTACAACAGCTAAATATATACCCTCTAGATATACGACATATCAGAGGGATCCTTTCCTTCTATATGACCTCCACGTCAGGCCAAGTTGACCGTTTCTTCACACGCTCTAACCTGAAACACTTAACGGAACACCCAAGAAAACTCTTCAATCACCGGCCCAGAGCCCTCATCCGCTCCAACTTCTTCACGTACAGGATCATCTCAGAATGGAACCAACTTCCACTAGAGATTGTGAACTCCTCCTCCAAAGGGTCTTTAAAACTCTGCTAGACTCACACCTAGGGCTTACCACCCCCCTGACCTAATTGGCCTCCATCTTCTGAAGGACACCCCCACATTATCCGGCTTATCCTTGTTACTACGCCTCAAACATCCTCGCTTTCATCTATATTTTTTTCTCTTTTTCCGATGCATGCACTCTTAACCCAGCGGCACCATATTGGAGCCAGCTCCCATTTCCGTCAATATCCGTTTCAGCGCATGAACCGAACTGCAGAGAAGAAGACAAATCCGGATCCGGAAATATTAGGTGCAAGCCTCGAACCCGAGTACTACTTCAAGACTACACCACCAAGGACCGATCAACTAACTGTGGAAGCGTTGCGAGACACACGTAGCCCGTAAACGCAAGAACCTTGACTGTTATAGTGGCTCAAGCCGCAAGTTCTGTGAACTGTCCTATCCTGTCCTGTCCTAAACCTGACCTTGGCGGTACGTTCGAACTGGTTACGTGAATCTTGCTCTCTGGTTAAATCTTAAAATTTGAAGGTTTTATCGTGTGAAACCATCTGTATTGCGGTTTCACTTTGGTATTATACTTCTATAGGTATGGTGATACGATTTCTGCACTGTTTTCCGGTGTTTACCATTTTTTTCGAAAAGGTTTTAGACATTTCGATTTTTTTGCACGAAATTTAAATGATTTCAGATTTCGCACGTATTTAGGCATATTTTTGATCCACTTTCTGTCGCTCTCAACCTTGCTATCTATATTAAGATGCCTAGAGCCACATTTCCATGCTTGAATGAGCATTGCGGGAAGCGGGTAGTAAAATACATAGAATGCGAGGTTTCCGGGAGATGGGCACATGCAAATTGCTCTGGGATTACACCAGAACGATATGATCTGTACTACAAAGACCCAGGATTACAGTGGCTATGCAGATCTTTCCTAAACGTGGCAAAAGGAGCGGTGCTTAAGACGGTTGCCAAGGGGGTACCTGCAGAGATAGCCTCCGTTGTCAGCCCCGCCAAAGGGAGCAAGAAACCGAAACCGAATCCACCGAAAACGTACGCGGATGCAGCAANATGCAGCAAAAGCCAATGCTGACCCCACCAACCGGGGTTGCAAGGTGACTAGCAAAGGGAAGGCAGCAGTCGGTTCTGCTGTATCGCAAGTAGTCAGGACGCTCATTGCCAAAGCCACTAGGGTTGAGCCTTTTGGTAAAGGCACGAGTAAACCCATTAGGGTAAAAGAAAACATCCTTCATGACCTAGAAGGTCAATTAAAGATGATCAGTGATCGACTCAGATCACTGAAAGCAAGCGGAGGCGGCCCAACTGGGTTTCATAGAACTCTTTTAATTCTTAACAACGAAGAGCCGCTGGGTAAGGAAACGAAAGCCCACCGGGATATGAACAGAAGAAGAGTGTTAGATATCCTAAGGATAGCTGGCATGGAGAGGTGTACACTCAAGAGGGTCCATAGAGTAGGTGCCTGGAGGACGCCTATTGATAGTGAACCCCGAGCGGCTAGGCCACTTTTAGTGGAATTCGCTGAACAATCAAGTAGAAATCAACTACTGGCCAACTCTGGGAAAATATTCCACGTAACACGGGGTAGAGGCAAGATAACCCCGGATGTTCCTAGGGCTCTTAGATTGCAGGGTGTTAGAGCACCAAGAAT